GTTGATCCACAGGAGCTTGCGGAGGCCCGGGGCCCGCCTGCAGTTGAGTGGGCCATCGTGGCACACCCGCAGACTGGCGGTAGGAAGCAGGGACTGAGGCACGTGGTAGCTTCAGCAATGCCCATGCTGTTGCTCTGTGTTTTGAAGCTGATGCACATGTAGTTGCAGCCAGAGGGAGTGGAAGTGACCAAGTTCCTGTTTCAAAAGGATAGCGCCTCAAGTTGTTGCTTTGGCTCCCTGTTTACCATCCGAGGGTCCCTTGGCGTGCTAGAGTAGAACATCGTCCCAATGATTTGAATGATGGAGATAAACGATAGTTCTATCCCTTGGCCTCGGGCTTAGGTGAGTGGGAAGGGGAAGTCTTAGAAGATACCCTTGGTTCAACACACTTGAAATTTAGAATTCCTTCCAATGTATTCGAGCTGATTCTGATGTCTCAAGCTTCCATTTGAACCATGGCAGTCGACTTCCGACTGTGGCCTTTGGTCAGTTCAGGCGCTACAAGGTGCCACAGAGGCCCTGCAGAATGCAGAGGCAGGGCTGGAGTAGCTGAGCCACGAGTTGCGGATCCGCCTGGCCACAGGGGCTCAACCAAGGGTGGGGCATTCCAGGTCTTACAAGTGTTTCACCATCAATCACCCCGTTCCCTACCTACCGGTATCCTTCTGATGTTACTGTGGCATGCTCCCGTTACATGTTTGGGCCTTTGTGGCATATTGTAGGGGTAGCCGGAGTCACGTGGGTGCGCCTACGGAATCAAGAGTGGTTTTCTTCACGATCAACTTACTATCGCCCAAAGCCGATTCGCATTGCACTCTTTGGATATTTTGGACGATTTGGTTCGCACCTGATTTCATGAGATCCCTGATAGTAAGGCCTACATAAACCTGTATAGGCATGTTGGTAAAACTAACAGTCAGCGGTTTTTTGGCGCTGCTTACTTAAATATGTTTCCCTATGCCACTCAGAGTCTCCAAACACGGCCATCCACGCACCAATCCCTTCAACTGGATGCAGAGTTTTAACACCAACAGCGACGTGGTGTCCTGTAGGAGCACTGATCAACCAAGCAGCAAAAAAAACACCTACATGATTGGATTTGATGCATGGGCCCCAAGACAAACATCAAGGATCCACATGCTATATAAACGGCTTCTTTTTTAGTGTCCCTCTAGAGTTGCGAATTGTCTACCAGTTCAGTGGCAAGCGGGATTGGTGAATTTCCCAAAAAGAGTCAAGCTCAGGGGTTCTTTCTGGCGTCTTTGAAGCAACCCTAATCCTTGGCTTGACATCAGGGGTCGGTTTGAGGCTGTGAAAGGGACTACTAATTTTGAGGCGTCCATTTGCAATACCCTAGAGAAATAGCCCAGCGATGGTGATGCAGGTGATGCAGGGGATGCATGTGCGTGTGATACCGGTGATGCAGCTGATGCAGCTGCAATCTTGCCTTGTAGAACCAACATGATTTATCATGTAGCCGCGATTTTGCTGCTTTTTGCGATCTAAGCGCAGCCCAAGACTTGCTGATACGGACTGTGAGCAGCCTCCCTGGACGCGTCACGGAAATCCATCGGTTGCATCCTGCACTGCGTTTCCTGGCTGTTGCAAGACTGATTTACAGCACACTTCCGGTGAGGTTCCGGAGGTTCCGGGTGGTCTGGAGCAGGCTAGGTGTAACTGCCGGGCAGTCTGGTGCAGTTCCAGGGACGCTTTCGCCCCCTCTATCGCGTCGAAAGCAAACGAAAACCGCCGCCGGCGCAGATCGACACACCCGTCAGCGCGACAGGGCAGCGAGCGACAGCCGCAAAGCAGAGCCCACCACCTTGGCAATTTCCAAGCCAGGTGCAAGGTTCAAGGAAGGTTTCGGAGGTGGGTTGTCTGGCGCAGGTCTTGTTGAAACTGGAGCCTCCAAAAGTCGCGCCTTTGTGGCCCGAAAACGGGGACATTATGCTTCTGTGCACCTCTGCCTCCCTCGCCCTGTCGCCGTTCCCCCGGCAGGCCATGGTGGCGAAGGGCGGCTGCGGGGAGCTCTTCGTGGGTGCCGACGAACCCCATGCGCCGGACCATGGCCCGGCGCCCGAGCCGCGAGCCGCGAGCCGGGCAAGCAGAAAGGTCTTGCGTGTCGTGTCTGAAGCGTTTTTTTGTTGGAGTCTTTTTTTTGGGCTTTTTTGGATGCGTGTGTTACTACACACAGTTTGGAGAGACAAGCCCAAGTGGGGTAAGGCCCCCCTCAGTGTAGAATCTAGAATCTGACAAGTGCCAAGGTGTGTCTGATCGGTTTAGTGCTTGCAGCCGGATGAAGCGGCTCAAGGACAAAGAAGCTTGAGGTCGTCGGTGAGCTTCGGAGTCTGGCAAACCCGATTCCAAGGCCGTCGGTCAGAGGGCATGGATGAGCGCGATGCGCCTTGCTGGCAGGATGAGCGACCAAAGCCTTTGGCCAGGGGAGTTTTTTTTGCTTGGATTGGTGACGAGAACGCTGACATCTGAAAGCCATTAGCCAGTAAACATCCATTGAGCGCTGAGTGGCGCCCCTTTTGCATGGCTCCAGACGATTCCCACCGTGGCAATGCGGCGCCGAGGTGTTCCTTTCACTGATGCGATCCCTGCCTGGTGAGAGTCAAGCACTCAATCGACAGGCGGGGAAATAGCATGGAGGCTTCTAGAGCGGAGACTTGCTTCAAGTGTTAGGCTGAGCATGTCACCCCTCACAAAAAACAAACAAGGAGCAACTGTCACCTTTGCAGCGCCCTTTTAGCATCAACTTCTGCTGTTGGGCGGAGCTATAGCTTTGCAAGCTTCAAGATTGGCATCTGGCGAGGGATAATTTGGGCCTTTAGTATATAAAGATGAGTCTTCCCCACCGTTGCATGGACGTCCTTGGTCCGGTCTGCGTACCCTACAGTCAGACCTGGAGGTGACTCTGAGTGGTTCGCCTTTGTGACCCCCACCGCAAGGTCTTGATTATATTGACCACCAACAAAGCATCACCACTGCGACCTCGTGGGTCGAACAAATCCACTAGGATTGCTAAACAGACATCGCACAGATTCACAAAGCAAGTATTGTGGTAACCCCAAGTTTGTGATCAACCAGCAAAGCAGCCATCGCCTTGCAAACATGGTTGTTCGAAGTCAATCCTGGATCCTTTTGCCAGATGGTAACGGTTGTACTTTTGGTAGTGGTGTCTAAATCCGGATTGTGGACAAGGAAATTCGGGATCCCCCTTGTGAAGAACCCTCCTCATTTTTCACACCCACGGAACCCCAAAACGGGTAGCAACCAAAAGGTATTCCAAGTGAACAGGGGCACCAACGAAGAAGGGGTACCAACCAACCAACCAGCCAGCCAGCCAGCCTGCCAGCCAACCAACCAACCAACCAACCGACCGACCGACCGACCAACCAACCAACCAACCAATAATGATTGCTTGTTTGGGTCATTCGTGCCTCTTGAATCGGTCGAACTCGGCCTTCAGGGCTTCGCCGCCTCCGTGCCGCAGCTTGAGTTGGGGCGCCCAAATCCCGACAAGAGTTGGGGAGGGGAAGCACACCTCCCAGCCGGGAAGGTGCCGAAATTGGACAATTGCTTGGGGCGAATAAAACTTCATGTGGGGAGGGCAGCCGCTTTGTGGGTTTTGAAGGGGAACCCGGAAACTCACGCAGCGGGGTGCCTGATTTTGATTTGCATATGATTCGCTTCGAACCTCTCAAAAGAAGCCATAGGGTCAGTGACTATTCACAGTGATAGCTGTATGATACCTTGCTTGGGGCTGAGTCCTCACGTGGCGACGGTGCTTCTTGTGCGATTGGATAAACTGATCGCAGGTGGCTCCCAGAAAAAGGTCAAGCTGCAAATAGGACAGCTGAAGGCCCTGAGTTCGTGCGTGATTGCCCCCCTTGAGGAAGAGCATGGCAAAAACAAGTTTTGTTTTTGCGTTTGGATGTAACCATTCAGGTTGGTTGGTTAGTTGAGCGGTTGGGTGGTTCGATTGGTTGGTGCGTTGGTCGATTGGTGGGTTGGTGGGTCGGTGGTTCGGTCGGTCGGTCGGTCGGTCGGTTGGTTGGTTTGGCTGGCTGGTTGGCTGGCTGGCTGGCTGGCTGGTTGGTTGGTTGGTTGGTTGTTTGGTGTGGCTGGTTGGCTGGCTGGCTGGCTGGCTGGCTGGCTGGCTGGCTGGCTGGCTGGCTGGTTGGTTGGTTGGTTGGTTGGTTGGTTGGTTGGTTGGTTGGTTGGTTGGTTGGTTGGTTGGTTGGTTGGTTGGTTGGTTGGTTTATAGTCCAAGCTTGATCCCCCAACCATTCAGAAAGCGAGGCCGAGGCAGGCAGGGTCAATTTGGCTGAGGCCATTTGACTCGGAGTCCGATAGCCCCAGCCTCAGTTGGGTGCCTGGAGTGGCAATTTGCCATTTGTGGGATGGCGAGTTGCCAATGATTGAATATGTATCATATCGCTATGTGTTGCAGATTGCAATCGACCGCTTCCTGGATTGACGAAGACTACTGATTGTCAATTGCTTGGGCGTGCTCTGCTGGTTGTGCGTCAAGCTGCCGCAGCCAAGCACTGGTCCATCCGTCTGCATGGGTCTTGCCCAGGGATGTCATCCCTGCGAAGCACGTCTAGCATCTCTAGTGGAGGCACATCGGGTGGAGAGAGCCGTCTGCGCCTGAAAAACCCGTTTTGGGGAATGCGGGCAAGGCGTGGCACTCAGTCATATATGTTCCCGGTCCGGTACCCCCCCCCCCAATGTCATCCGGGAACCAGCAACAGCAGCGACACGCATGTTTTGTCTCATTACGAATTATGCTGCGGCTTTCAAATTACGAATTGCGCTGCGTCTTTGCAGCGGGGTTTTTCGACCAGATGCGGAAGCGCTTAGGCCGGGGCAGGAGCAGGTCATAGTGGTTCTGTTTGCGAAGAAGCCGCGCAGGACCACCTCTCAAGGCCCCGCCGTCGCCAATACCCTGCTCCTTTTCCAGGCCGACGGCGTCGCCGTTCTCCTGATAAACCTCCACTGTGATGCCATGGTACCGGACGAAGGCGCTGATGTTGAAGAACGTGCCGTAGACCGTGGGCTGCGCTGCGTAGGCGAAGCATTGGCCCCAGTCAAAGCCCTCGCAGCATCCGGGCCAGAGGGGGTCATCCGACATCTCCAACCTCCAGGCCTGCTTTTGCGGGCGCATCCAAGTGGCGAACCCAGAGCTGCACGTGGGTCAGTAGCTTGCACCTCATCTGTTGCGCCCCACGGGTGTCATATTCTAAGTCCTGAGCTTGCAAGCCTTGCTCCACACGCTGCATGGCCATGTTGAAGCATCGGTAAAGGCAGGCCCCGTCGCCGAGAAATGGCACTTTGATGAAGCTGCCGCAAATACTCAACTTGCTCGATGGAGCCCTGACGATCCGCAAGCTTGGCGCATGCTGGTCGTCAGCAACAAGTTTGCGGGGCATCAGCTTGAGGTTGGCCTCGTGCTTGTAGACAAGGTGCCGGCTCCCTGCAACACTGACTGCACCACGTGCTCCCGGACCTGCCCGTTTTTCGTCTTGAACTTCCCATGCCCGGTCTTGCTGGTGTATACGTTGTTGGCGATGATGACCCGGTCTCCAGAAAAATGGGGGCATCACAAGTGTGGGGCCGTTTGCTGTCATACTTGAGAGACTTCGTCCTTCTGTCCTGGAGGTGCTTGTGCTCGCGCAGCTGCTCCCTTCTTCTGGTAGTCCTCCTTCAACCCATCAGCCTTCTCAAGGGAAGCCAGCCACACTGAGTCGCTAAGCGTTGGCCCAGGTCCATGCGTCAAGTTCACAAGCTCGACGTTCCGCCAGCGCCACTCTGCAGGGCGTAAGATCCGCCAAAGTGTCTCCGGTGACGCGCCAAACCTATGTTGTTGTAGGCCAGGACCGCTGAAAGCTGACGCGTCCAGCCCCCAGCATGCGCGGAGTCCGTACACTTCCACGAGCCCTTTGGCTTGCGGCTGCTCTGGCAGGATGTGCCGGGGCTTGACCCCGATGGCTTTCTCCAAAGCTTCCTGGATCACATTGCGGAAGGCTCCGCCATTGTCTGTCCAAACAACGAGCGGCAGCTCTTGCTCAGAGAAGAAGCGGAGGATCAAGCCTGGACAGCCTGGAGGTCCCCGCCATAGTCCAGATCCCACGCAAGGCACTTTTTGCTGCAGAAGTCAACTGCAAGCAACATCAGCCACTTGTCCCCGTTCCCCGTTGTGCGGCTTGACGGTCTTCAAATCAAGATGACATCGCCAGCCAGCCCGGGTGGGGCTTGGCCCTGCGCAGGTCGCGCGTTGTGTTGGACCTGCAAGCCTTGCAACACGCCACAGCCCACTGCGCATCCAGGGCGATGTTTGTCCATGCCTTTCCTTCAGCCCGCAAGGCCTGAACCACAGCATCTCGGCCGCGAAGACGCGACAAGTCCTCATATGGCGGGCCAGCGGAGGAGCTTCCAGCAACCAGCGCTCTGCGCGGGCTTTGTCTGCAAGCGGCCAAGCGTTGCCCTCGCCCTTGTCAACTTCGTTTTGGCGAGACACGCTGCGGAACTCCGCGAAAGCAGTGCAGGCCTTCTGGAGGGCTAGTCCACTGCAACTCTTGCACTGGCTTCCAAGCTTGCTTGGAAAATCCGGTTTGGGTTTGTCAGCCTTGCAGGCGGCGTTGCAGACTCGGGAATCCTTTGGCTGTCGCAGCGCGTCAAGGTTGACGCAGGCCATGCGTCGTGAAGCGCTCCGCCCCATGGAGTGTCAGAAAAGCCCGCGCGGTCCACCACCTTTTCGCACTTGCAGCGCTTCTTGGAGTCCAAGGCTTTCCCGCACAGCTTGTCTGGCACCGGTTTGCAAGCCAGGCAAGTCGGCAACTTCTTCACCCGCTGAGTGTGCACGACAAGACGTCGCGCTTTCTCGCTGCCACAAGATTGGCACGTCTTGGCCTCAGTCTGCACTCGTGGGAGCCTTGCGTGAAAGGCTTGCTGAATCATTCGCTCCACATCTGCAGGCGACGCTTGTTCGCCGCTGCCCGTCGGGGCAACACCTGCAGAACCTTCTGGCGGCCGCAGCTCTGGCTCAAGAGCTGGGACGGCTCCTGCACAAGTCTTTTTTGACTTGCAGGGCAGACGGTTCAGTCGGACAAAGAGGTGCACATTTGACATCTGAAGCCATGTTGGCAAGCTCTGATCGATCAGGTGCGGTCTGGAAAGGACTGCTTGCTTTTCCGCCGTCAGGATCAGGATGTTGAAGGACTCCGCATCTGGAAAGGCCCGGAAGAAGGCCAATGCGGCAGCCAAGCCAGCAAGTCCAGGCGTTGGGCTGCTGTGGCCAGCGACAGGCTAATGTTACTAAATGAGCTGTTGTGCATGCTGTGTCTAGCTGTGCTGGCATAGCGCTGCTGCCGGAAAGTTTGTTGAACATTTCTTGAAACATGCTGCTGGACCTTGACTGGCTAATTTGAAGGCCGAGCACATGCAGCCGAAGCAAGCATTTTTCTGGTTTCTTTTTGAAACCCACCTGAGAAATTGACCATTCGGATTCAACCCAGGAAACACCACCCCACAACCACAGGGGAGAGGGGGTCACCATTGAGAGCTGGGGTGCGTGACCATGGGGGCTGCAGGTCTGGAGCATATAGATATATGATATATATCATAAATATAGAGGTATAGGTATGTACGAATGCAAATCAGGTAAAACTCGAATGCGATGCCAAGACACGTACTAGTTTGGCCGGTGATGTTCCTGCTCACCCGCCATTGGCTTTCCTCACGAGACTCCCCTTGTTGTTTGTCAACCAGCCATTCCATTCGGGTGCCGCTCTGGCGCTAGCTGTTCCTTTTCGACCAGCTAAATACAAATTTGGCAGCTTGTCCTCTCTTTGAAGGCAACTGGCTTGATTTGCAGCGTACCTGCGTGCAAAAATAGATACATTCTCAATGAGAGGTCTTCACACATGATGACTATATCTTACAGCCTTGATTTTGTTTGACATGGCCCGCGCACAACCATTGTTGCGGATCACTCAACGAGTGTTTTTTAGAGGTTGTCCAGCGGGTTCTGAGAGGCTATCTACTAGGTGCTTATTAGGCCCATTGCTGGGGTCCCACTGCGTAGCAGATAGAATCAATGCTATTCCAGCACATTTTGGAGGGCTTCACTGGTATTTCCACCAATTGTTTCACTCTTTTGGCACTTCTTTGGCACGCTCAAAGAGGAGTCCGCAGGTCACAAATCCTAGATGCGCTGTCTTCTGCTTCTTCAATATGCTGACATTGGTTAGAGGCGGGCGCTTGACGCGCATGAAGTCCACCATGCAGCTCCATCGCATCGTGGAGGCGTCACGCCCTTGGCTTCCTGGAGTCTTTTAGTTAGTTTAAGCAGATTGTTGAAGCCAACTTGGGGTTGAACGACCTGGGCTGTTGGCTAGGAAAAGGCACTTTGCTCATGGTGGCGTTGAAATCGCTCATGCCTTAGCCGAGGAACTTCCTGAGAAATCGCAAGCATACCGCCTTCTCTGCTTGGATTGCTTTCAATCTTCAGAGCGTCTAACATTCATCCAAATTGTGCAGGCGGGTAATGGGAATGGAATGGTCCTGTCAGGTTGGCACTTGCACCCACCAAGATAGAAATAGATAGTCATGCACCTCTCAAGCACTTCAGGTACTTGCAGTGCCCCGATCCATTTTCCCGTTTGACCTTTTGGTTTATCAAAAACAATCAGCTTGGCCGCCTTAATCAGGGTCCCCGTTTTTGGAAGCCATTCAGGGCGCCCATGCACCTCATACGGATGACTCGCTTCTTTTCTGACAACCTCGATTGCACTATTTGGACTCAGTGCCATGGTTCTTTCTCTTTTCCGAGGTCCAGTGGGGGACCTGAAAGAGGTCATTCCCGCAGCCGCTGTTTTCGACCCAGATTAAAATATCAAAATATGCAGGATTTTGAGAAACAAAGCCAACCGATTTTAACTGGGGGGCAAATGAGCAGCCAAAAAATGCCAGCCCCAGTAGCTAAGGCCCAGCCTGCAAGAGATGGCCGAGACGGTGCGCGAAGGCAGGTGTTCTTCTTCGAGGACTTCGGCTTCTGGGGCCATTTTTTGGTTTTCGGGGGTCTCGGATATTTTCCTACCACGTGACTTCGAGAAAGGCGAATGGGGCCAAGTCCAGGCAGGAAAACAAGTCGACCACTCGCCTATCTTGTGGGACCTATGCAAGCGATACACGATTCCACCACAAACGAGCCAATACCTACACTTGGGGGCTTATTTTGAGAGAGAACCACCCCCCCGAAACTTGACTCGTGAATTGGCCGGAAGCCCTCATTTTGAGCCAACCCCATAAGTGAGAGCCCGGTAAAGGTTCGGAGGAAACTAGCGGTGGTTCTGAGCGCATAAACGTGAACGCATGTGTTGATCTGTTTTTGGCCCGGGCAGCACGGAGCTTTCATGACAATTCGTGGCAATCTGGATGAGCTTCATTGCAAGGCGGTCTCACTAGCATGTCTGATCAGCTTATGTGCATGGTATGTCATGTCGATGATTCATGTTTCCTGCCTCCTTTACGAACTCACCTGAGCAGCCCCCAGGCCCCATGTTGGCTACTCGGTGAGGCCCATATGAACCTTTACATCCACGCCGGTAGGACTAAATCTACATGGATTTCGGGCATTGCTCTGGGGTAAACAAGCTCATTCGTGCTGCAGGTTTTGAACTGAGGATATATTTTTTTGCGGCATGAGAATAGATCTGCGACGCTCCATGGCTGCGAGCCGCGCCGCTCAGGCTCTTCTCGCCAGCCGCCCTCTTCTCCCAGCTGCAGCCCCACGGGGGCAACTGCATCCCTTGATCTCAATTGTTCATGTTTCCCCACAGCGTGGGCCAAAAGCCAAAGGGAAGTGCAGCGAAGAAGGACGGGTCAGGGCAAATGGGGAATTCCGAGGGCGATCGGGTGCCTACATTCCATATCTTTCGGCCTCTAGTCATGTGCACTACCCTGGACATTTTTCGGAGACCTCTCGCTTAGCCGGGCAAAGCATGGCAGCTGCCTCTTTTTGTTCTGAGGCGAGACTCTTCAGCTGGCAGTGCAGCAGGCGGGCGGGCGGGGTGAGGGGGGCGAATGGGTGAAACTGGGGTGTATTCATCACAGAAGCACTTGCTTCGTGCTCAGCAAGAACAACATGTTCCACAAAAGTGCTAACTTGGCACAAAGCTCTGTCGATTGAACCAATCCCTGAGCCTTCGCACGGCCATATTGGGGCCCTTCGACGGAGATAAACTGCGTCCAGGTAGCTTAGAAACTCTTAGTGCAATCCCCTCAAATTCAGCATGCGCGCTCTGCCTGAATCACTGAAGCATGAAGGCAGACGCTTCTTCCAAGTTGCAAGGTGCAAAACTTGTGCAAGCAGCTGGAGGGCGTTGGAGAAGTCTACAGGGTGGCGGGCTCAGGGCGCCCTTCCATCAGCCAAGTATGTGAGATGGGGCTGAGAGCCACAAGCAGAACGCCCGCGCTTGGGCGCTGTTCTCTGTCACAAGTCGCAAAGCTCTACACATTCTTCGCCCCCTTCTCGCCCTTTAGAAATGATTGGTACCTGAAGGCCAGGTGGCCAGGTGGCATGTTGTGCTGAGGGCAACCCTTTGCAAGCCCGTTCTGACTTGTGCCTAGGACGTGAAGGCTCAGCTGGAGCCCATGCAGCAGGAGTATTTGAGGAGGCGCACGACTTGAGTGTAAGCCGTATGACCCGAGGTATTTCCAAGCCATAGCTCACGCTGAACTGACGCGTGCGGTCTCAGCAAGAGGTCCTGTGTTATCCGCATCCTTGGTCAAGCACACCGTAGTGGGCGGCACGACTCGCCTCTAAATTGATCGGTTCGAGATAATTTCCCTATGAAACTGCCCCAAAGAGCGGGCCCCGTGTCTGTTTTTGAATCTACCCTCTTTTTTGGGAAAAGAACAACAGCAAACGACCACGCCAATATGGGGGTCTAGAAAAGACACACACGTATGGTCAAAGCTGATGGCTCCTTGAAACCATGCACCGAGCGGCCGCCGTTTTCTCCAGGCAGGAGGAGTGCCGCTTTTTGGAAGCCCAGTGCCGGCGATTGGATGATCCTCGGAGGAAGTGGGCAGACGAAACGGGGGCTGTAAACGATTCCACCAGTTGAAGCTGCCTTGCCTGCAAAAGCTACATATATATATATATACATATATATGCTATATATATACACACACATATAGGTGTGTTCACGTGTATTACATGGAATATTACAAATACATGCATATGCACTCATATACGCATATTCTTCAAGGTGGGACTCTTCAAGCTGGCAAGGTCTTCCAATCAGAGCAGAGCTTGCTGTTTGTCTGGCTGGCGTTCAGAGACCAGCGGCGGTGGATTGCTAGTTACGAGACAAGGAGCTTGTTGTCAGGTTGTGGCTTTTTTGCCCATCCTACCCTGACCGTCTGACTTGGCGGGGCATGGAAACAATCAGCAGGGTAGCAGGACTGAGAATGGAGCTTGAGAATGGCGCAAACTGCAGATTGCGCCTTGTTAAAGGGTCCTTTCGTGCAGGAACAACTATCAAGATTCTGCTGAACTGTTTGTTTGATGCTCTTCAATTGGTCTGGCAAAAAGGACCCCGAATCAGTTTGCAATGCTTCCTGGCGGCTTTCTCTCACCAAGAACAAGTGAGAAAAAACACTGGGCCAAAGCTAGGCAAGATCGACATTGCCTTTTTGCCAAGCTGATTGAGACCCTTGTTTTGGGGTACTTGAACAATTTGTTGGCTTCCTGCTATTTGAAGCTCGAAGACGGATTCCCTTTGGCTTCGCAAGCTGAGGTGCACTGCCGCTTGCTGGAAAACCGTGTCCAAGCGGCAGAGGTGCGACGTTTGAAGTGGGGAGGCTGTGATGGCTTGGCACTCAAACCATGGAACGTAGACCATTCAAATTGCCAACTTCTTAGCGACGTGCGCCCGCTGTTCCTAGGCTCACTTGAAGCACATTCCAAGAAATGTGTGCAGGCATCACTGCAATCTAGGTTAGGATGTGACCGAAATCTATCTGCGGCTTGGTCAATGTTTGAGACAAGATGCTCATGAGCATCGGTCATGCTGCAAGTGACTGGGACAATGTGTTTTGAATAAAAAAGTATGAACAGCTGCTATGTCTCGCGGAACGCCCCTGTACGTGGTGCGTTTCACGTTTGGGGGGTCACTGGCCCGCGGATGGGCGTCCAGGCGAGCGGCGCACTCCGTGCACCAAGCTCAGAAGGGGCCCGTTTCGGCTTCCAGGGTCGCAGCTGACTTGCCGGCGCAACGCCGGCGTTTCAAGGGTCACCACACCTTGGGCTGGGTATGGGGGTATGGTCTTCGTGTTTATAAAACCTATGCAAGCCAAATCGTGCTTTAAGAGACTGAATAGTGAGTTTATTCAGACATGGCAGGAATCTCTTGATTTGGATTCATAGAAAAAAGCGACAACCATTCAAGGGATTCACGTTTCCTTCGCGAATGTCCCATGGCTGATAGGAACCACAAGCTGGGGTCAATCCTTCTCGTGGGAGTTGGGGTTCCGTATTCTTTGAAGAGCTTTCGGCAAGGTTGAATGACGCCTCAGCTTCAGCAAGGTTATTGCCTTCTCCCACGACTAGCAAGCTAATTTCAAGTTGCTCGTTTGAACGTTCTTCGGTCAGTCTTCTTGAACATTGCTTTGTTTTCAGTTTTCTACTGCTGAAGGAAAGCAAACTGCTCCCCCAAAGCTAGCCGGAGGACTTTTCTCACTTTCTCCCGTTGAAAAATGCAGAACACCCGTGCTGGGCTAGATACATCGGGCTGTCAAATATGTTCAATAGCTTTCAGGACCGTAGTATCTCAACTTCCGATTTTGTTGTATCTGGAAAGATGTTCAGATGCGACCATCTCGATTGTGGAACGCCTCCAGCTTCACTTTTCTATGAGCGCAACTGGAGGGTGGGGTGTGGTCAAGGGCTTCCCTCCGTCGGCGCAACGGCGAACCCCCTGCAAGATGACACGTACAAGTCCAAATGACAGCCAAAAGGATCTCATACCATCTCATACCCAAACGTCAGCGATCTCACTGGTGGCCGATGATGAGACGCTCACACCGGTGAAATGTTTGGATTCAGCGCGACCCTGACGCCTGGACATGACACAACATAAGAGGTCCATTATCTTTGATTGAAATGAACGGCGCCGGGGATACGTCCCACAGACTCTCAATCTGAATGGTTGGAATACCCTGCAAAATGCTTGGCCATGGACTTGAGATCAAAGGATTCCCAAATGCAACTCCCCATGTGACTCAGTTCCCCGTTGCCTTTGCGGGTTTCCCGGCCCTGAGGCGCCGCAGCCGCAGCCCTTCAACCCGGATGCACAGCTTCCGGCGCCAGGCGTGGAATCGGCAGAGGGTGTTGGTCGCTTTCTCAGCGAGGGTGGGGATTTGGGCATTTGGAGTAAGATATGGGAGGCAAGCACTTGGTTGGAACCCCGAAGATGTCCTCCATAAGTTAAAGTCCCTGTTCACCTCGTGCGCAAATTGAGTGTTGCGAAGCCGCAAGGGGGGCGCCGGTCGCTTCTCATGTGCGGTCAAAAGACCTGCTTGGGGTTAGGCCCAGGATTGTCATGGACCCCTTCAGCAATGAGAGCCATAAAAAAGGGTTACGAGGGACATGACCCACAGATTCGGAGTTTTGACCATGAAGATGTCAAGCCTGGCTTGGCCTTGTGCAGCAAAACAAGCCCCACGGAGAACTTCAGAGCTGGCTGGTTCTAGAGAGCAATTGCGTGAGTCAGGCAAGGGTTCGCGAAGGTCGAGTTCAAAATTCGAAGGCTACTCTTGCTCAGTCGAAGCCTGCCAAGCTGGATGGCGTGCAGCGCAGCTGGACTTTTTGCTCTGAACGGGCCACATATGCAGCGGGCGGAAGTTCCCAGCATTCACCGTTTGTGTCTCTGGGAGTGGTCTGGCTCGATAGGCTGGGCACAGCGTTGATTCAGTGGTTTTGGCTTGGCTAGGGTCAAAGCCAGCCCTTCCCACTTTAGTGCCACATGAGGGTAATTCCAGGGTGGTGCCGCTTTCCCTTTGTAGAAGGCCAAGAACTTACACGCGGACACTTGGAGCAGGTATCAAAACCAAGGGAGCCCGCAACGCGCCCGAGAACCAATACGAGTTGCCAAGCAGTCGGAGTCGGTGTCTACTTACACACGGAAGCTCAACTTTCTCGGCCATCTCAGGCTTCCCACTTTGGGAACTACTCAAAACCATCTTGGGAACCCTTGCCACTTTGGAGTTCCCTAAATCCATGTTTCGGAACCCAACATTATCTTGGCCTTCAGGTTAAGCCACCAAACTTTGGAGAATGACCCAAACTCATCCCGGGTTCGGGTTTCCCCGGTTGAACCCTTCCCTACTTTGAGCCTCAAAACCGACTTCGGCTTGCCGGCGATGGACCGTCTGGCGGCGCTGCGGGGCAAGGGGCCCCCGCCGCTGCCGCCACTGCCGCCCCAGCTCGGGGCGAAAGTGGCCGAAGCTGAGGCGGCAGGCCGGGAGGTGTACGGGACGGACACAGGAGAGGTTTTTGTTCTCTCTTTTTTCAATAATAATAATATAAGGGGGGAACCCCTTTCTGGGTTGTTTTTGAAGGGAGACCAACAGGCAAAGAAAGGAACGCCACGATTTTGGGGGTCTTCTGAAACGGACACCCATGCGTGGCTGTTTTTGAGGGTTTCTCAGGTCAAGGTTCAATGACTGAATCATTTGTGCCGCAGTCAGTGCTCCTGCTTGCTTTGCTTTTCCAAAGACTCAGAGGGTTTATGAGCTTATGTGTTGTGTAGAAAAGACCAAGTTTTGCAATCATCCTTGAAGTAAACCAAGGATAAAAGAGCTGAGTAGCCAACTCTTTGAGGACTTTCGTGACCATGAGAATAATGACGTGCCCCAAAAGAGCTTGATCACCAGGCGAGGATGATCTGGTGGCTGCAGCGACAGCGGCTTTGGCAGAGCACACTCGGGTGATTTTCCTGGATGTGGATGGCGTGCTAAACAATCAGACCTCCAGGCGGATGGGCCAAGCGCACGACTTGTGCTTCGATTGCTCATTCTGTTTTTTGGCTTCCCTTGTGTGTCCGATTGCTGTTGCTAGATTGCCTCATAAGCTGCCTTAGGCAGATGGCGATTTGTTTGTTCTCCTCGCCTGAACCACTCTGAACACAAATCCTTGACTGCACGCCTCACCTGCACTCACTCATTTCGGCGCCCAACGGGTGACTTCGCGAGGCAAGATGGAGATGATTCTCCAGCGGGGGAGATCTTGGAGAACCTCAAGTTTCTGGTGGACAGTACGCAGTGCAAGATCATCTTATCCTCGACTTGGCGCTTGGCGGACCACAAGAGGGCGCAGCTGGACCATGTCTTGTTGCAGTATGGCTTGGTGATCAATGGCTCAACGCCGGACTTGGAGAAGACGGCCAAGGGCGACAGGGTGGATGAGATCCTCCTCTGGTTGGAGATGCGGGCGGCGAAATCCGAGCAAGTAGAATCCTGGGTCGCCATTGATGACATGGACCTCTTGCGAATGAACCCCCGCCTGAAGCCAGAGCGATTTGTGCACACCTCAGATCAGAGAGGCTTTGACAAGCAAAAGATGGAAGAGGCTCTTCAGAAGTTGCTCGCAAGTTGACCACACTCCGCAGCTCCGCAGCGAAGCTGAGTCCATGAGCAGTCGGACCTCAGACGTGCAACGCGGGCGAAAGCTGCTGGTTTCTGGCTGGTGTCTCTTGATGTCATACGTTGTCCCTTTGACAGGGGATTCCCCGTGCTTAAAGGAGCATGGCAAGCTCACCGGCCCAAAATTTGGCCAGCGCGAGAAGCAAGCCGTGGAACTCAGAGGCCGAACAAAAGAATACCATTTGCCCCAATGCTTGTTCGTGTTTGTCCGAACAAGAGTTTGGCATTTGGATTTGCGGCACACAACATTTACGACGTCCCTCGGCATTTTTAGCGCCCGAGTTTGGCTTCAGGCGCGCGGCGGTTCATTCCCGTGGCGCAGGCGGCGGCGGGGACGGCTGGGCAAATCTGAAGGGACGGGCGAAGGGATGGGAAGGTTTTGGGAGGAAAGGACTTGACCAGAATTTGCTCCATTTGGAAGCAGACCCCCTGCCATGTATCAACTCCCAATGCGAATGGCAGGCGCAGGCGCCGGTTGTGGGTATGGTGCTGGCCTCAGGCACAAGCTGGCAGCACCCATTGGTACGAGTGGATCTGCGGATGGATGGCCAGTGAGCGAGTTGAATTTGCCAGCCAAGGCTCGTATGTCCATCATGGTGCGCCGCGGGACTTTGGGTGGGGTTCGGATGCTGGGTGCGGAAATCCTTTGAGTGACTGCCATCCGGCTTGAATGCTGATGCTACACGGATGGGAGGCAGTGATGCTGTCCATATTTTGGTCATGCTTCCTGCACATGACAAGCTGGTGTGAGTTGCCCACGAAGGCTCATGTGGCCAGTGCGCTGCTGGCTGCTCGATGGATAAGCTGAGGCCTTAATTGGGGCCCCTGCTGTGCAAACGCTTGGGAGGCAACCCTCGGCACATTGCTTGGTGGAATCACGCTGCACTTGTCTCCTCGTTTAACCGGCATTCCCAGGTGGCAACCCCACGTGCCGATCTTAGATGAATGCCCCTCGTGGACAGCTCGTGGATGAGTTTGCGGCTTATGGTAGCTTTAGGTTAACTTGCATCCGCATTTGCCTTCCAAGTCGGACGTTTGAAGCAGTCAAGAATTCAAGGTGCCCAACACACTTTCACCTTTCCGCCTGCAAATCCACACGAAGCAAAAGGGGCTTCAATCCTCGGTGCGCATTCATTGAACACTTACCTGTCGGGTTCCTGCGGGGGTGGCGGTTTGGGGGGGGGGGTAAACATTCATGGACTTTGGGACACTTTCCAGGCTTTCAGTCAGCACCTCCACTGGGAAACCAGCCATGGGCTTCTGGGACACCAGGAACCATATCGGAGTTTCATGCGGGTTCTCATTTTTTTGCGAACCCGGCACCCGGGTCCCAACTGATTCCTTGGGGAAGGGATGTTTTGACATGAGAAAAAGCTTGTTTGGGACCCACATGGAAATCTGGGACCGGAGTCCTTTTGGTTTCGACTTCACCGAAATGTCACTGTCAACAAGCCAAGACCTCACAGGCCTGTGGCTTTCGCCGAGCCTCCATTTCTCTCGACGAGGCGAGTTGACAGACTTGAGAATACTGGAAAACCCCACAGGCGCTGTTAGTTCAGTGCACGATTTCATCCCCCATTTAGACGAGTTTGGTGGCAGAAGCGGAGGTTTGGGGGCGGTTGAGACTATGGCAACTGCTTGGTGTCAGGCTGGGGTTTCACCATTCAGATTTGCGTGGTACTCAGTGAAGACGCTATCATTCTTCAGAGTCAAGGTACAAAGTCACACCTTTCAGGCTCACAGATGGCAGTTTCTAGATTCCCTGAAGCAACCGAAGCTG